ACAAATTCACAAATAACCACAGAGTGGTTATTATAGTTACTTTTATGCAATGGTAGTTCATTATTCTATTTTCAAGTTAATACAACAACATTTTTAATCTTTCTTATGAATGAATACTCTTTTTTTTTAGTTCCATCCTTTCCTCTTGGATCCTTTAAAAGTCATTTCTTGCATTATAGTGAATCCAAATAGAGTCCAAACTGTTTTCAGTTTTCAAGCATTATATTTTAAAATGATGATGTCTTGTTCCTATTTGAATCATGAAACTTGCTCTGGGTATGGTGGGTGGTAAGGAAGGGCAAGAAGATAGGATACTGTAGAACATTTCCATTGAGAATAAAAGGTATAAACCTTTTATTTGGGGAAATAAAGTTGTATAAAGAATTAAAGTTAGAAATGGAAGAAAATAGATATTAAAACAGAATATTTGTTCCTAACCCAGTAGATGAAACAAACTACTGCAGTTTCTTGTCCAAGAGTCATAGTAGAAATGAAAGCAGCAATGAGGGAAAATTGTATTACTGGGATTTGGAGCTGTCTCCTGTTAAAATTAGCAATACACAGAGAAGGAACATCAACCATAATATGTTATATTTTAGGAAATCTACCTTGTAGAAAAAAAAAATACCTCCCCCCAAATGAAATAAATTTACTTGGTTACATGAAACAGTTGATAGCTAAGTGGCTTCAGAGAATGAACCAGGTAGACTTTGGGTGCACAATAGGATCATTATGAAGTTGGAGGAATGGACTCACACACCAGGCAGTGACCGAGGGTTCTCCGAGGATGGCCGCAATAGACACAGATCCGTTAGCACTTGACCACGAGCCCATGCTCATACCACTTCAAGCCTCTTTTCCACATGCATTATACTCTTTCAACTCTTGGGAGGACTTCCCCTATTCCTTCCTTGTCTTCCTGATTAGAGGTTCTTAATTGAACCTATTCATAGTGAGGAGAGTTAATGTTCTAGAAGGAAGCTTCATTGCCATTAGGAAAAATGCAAGTAGATGCAGGCTAATCAAAATATGAGACATATCTGCTCCAGCAGGCTTTAAGAAATACAATCCTGATATAAAACCATGTAATCACATAAGGAAATAAAGGGAAGAGACTTCCAAGAAAATGCCCTAAAGAGGGAAATTAGGATCATTCCAACTTAAATGTCCTATTTATGAGAAGAAATGCCACAGAGACACATTCTTACAAAACAGATTATACCTATGTTATCGACAGTGGAAAAAATAAAACATAGAAAAAGCTGACCAAAGAGACACCAGAGAGTTTACAGAAAAAGGAACTGAATAAGAAAGAAAGGGTTGATGACAAAAGCTTAATGAAGGGTAAGAAAAATGCTGAACTCTTCAGTGTCTATTTTGCTTTGGTCTTGTAGACCTTGAAAAAATATTTTTTCAATTAAAAAGGACAAAGATGGTTGGAATTAATATAAATATTGAAGCTAAATGAGTCAATATCAAAAGAACAGCTATGTGCTTTTAAAAGAACTTAATCTTAGAAAAATCACTGGCTACATATTGAAGAAACTTGCAGATGTAATCAAGGAACCACTGTCAGTAATTTTTTAGGAAGCTAGTATGAGAAATGTCAGAAGTTAGGCTAACACTGTCTCAATTTATTTAAAGGCTAAGGTGACATATTATAGAAATACAGCTTGGTGCAGAATTTTTAAGAAGGTTACCAAACAGATGATTTACAAGCATGCGTGCAAGAAAACTCACATAGCATGTCTAAATTAAGATAACTGAGGGTGATGTAAGGGAACAAACTAGACTGAGAGGGCCTGCTTTCATGGCCTCATTCTGTCTATGAGTATCCATGTAGACATGAGCACATCAGTTAGTTCATTTGAAATGCAGTATTTTCATTTGGAAAATAAAGCTATTAAATTATTTATCCTTTAATAATTCAGCTCCAAGTATACCAAATTTACCTCAATTCTATTAATTGGGCTGCCTGCTATTTATTAAATAATATCTTGTCCTGGGTATTTATGTCATTTTTTGAAATATATTAGTGCTAGGACAGGTAAATATTATAATACCTTTTTGTAAATGATGAAACCAGAGGTTCAGAGGAGTTAACTAATAGATCAATCAAGAATGTATCCTGATATCAGGAAATCAACTGAGACATGTCCTATGGCATCATGATGGACAAAATTAATATATTTAAAATGAGATAACAGTACAATGAACACTGTAAGAAAAATTTATTTGCTTGGATAGTTATACCTAAAATATACTGATAATGCATCTAATTCAATTTCATGAAAATATTCTTCTTGTTTTTCTTTGAACTTGGACTATTCAATGTTTTTATAAATAATTTCTTGCAAAACATAAAAAATTCTATCAAATTTTTAAGAAAAAATCCACCAGAAACAGGATTAATAGTTTATTCACATATACATCTATTCAAATATTACATCCAAAACATGACTTGAGGTAAGTTAACTCAATGACAATGTAAGTATTCAAACACAGTGAAATTTATTAGCATTGAGAAAAATTCCTCCCCTTGGCATCTAAACTACAGTATTTTTCTAAACAAGGTAGGGCCTTAACTTTGAACAAGGTTAGAATTTGGGCAATGAGGACAGTATTGGCTCTTGCCATTTGAAGTTCTAAAAAGAGTTTGGGAAGGGAGTAGCTTCTAGAGTGATACCTAAGTTTCTTTTCCCCTTACTCATAGGAGAGGAGGTAAAACAATGTTAGACTAACAAAAAATTCTATTAAGTTGACCCAGCTCATTTCAAGCTGATTTCAAGTTCGACAGAGGCCAACCTGTGAAAAGTATAGCATAAGAGGCTGATATAAATCTAGTTACAATCACAGAAGACTTTGGGAGCGGATAGTCCCACAGTTTCTGCCTGGCCCAGCCTATAACCTTAGCATAGTGGGCTCATGTCAACAGGATCCAGGGAGTTGAATGATCTAAAAAACAAATGAAAAGTGGCTGGGGTAATTAGAAAAGACAAGATTTACCTGAAAAGCTCCTTTAAAATACTCGAGGAGCAGCTTTTTGGAAAAGTTTGTTGGTTAATATTGAGCTCTGAAAGCAACACTAGGAATGGTTAGAACCAAAAAGTACCTTTTTATGACAGTCTCTCCAAAATTGAATGTGATTCCTTTGGAGGGTAAGGACACCTTAGTAATTCCTTCTCTTCAATTCATTGAATATTGAGGGCTTACTTTGTGCCACTCTAAAATTTGGGAATATATCCATGAGGGAAACAGACAAAAATCTTTGCTATTGGGTGTTTATATTCTGGTAGAGATAGAAGACTTTCAATAAATAATAAAAACAAATTAGTTATATATATTATATATCATGCAGAACTGATATATAAAGATATATCATGATATACTGATATATATGCATGCACCCACCCACACATCTCAATATGTTAAATGATGAAAGTTATAAAAAAAAAAGGAAAAAAAAGGAAAGGTAAGGAATGTGAGGAGATGAAAATGGAACAGTATAGCCTCCCATTAAAAATATGGTTGTTAGATTAGGTTGACCTCTCTGCTAAGGTGACTGTGTTAGGGTTCTCCAGAAGAAAAAGAATAAACAGGCTCTACATGGATATATAGAAGAGATTTATGTTGAGGTACTGGCTCACATGATTATGGAGACTATGACATCCCACAGTCTGCTAGCTGAAAGCTAGAGATACAGGAAAGCTGTGATTTGGCACCAGATCAACCCTGAAGGCCTGAGAATCAGAAGTGCTGATATCAAAGAGAAGGAAAAGATGGATGTCCCAGCTTAAACTGAGAAAATTCTCATCCTCCACTTTATTTTCTACTCATATGCTGAACAAATTGGATGATACCATCCACACTGGGGAGAGCAGATCTCTTTTACCCACTCTACTAATACAAATGCTAATTTCTGCCAGAAACACATCCACAGACACAACCAAAAATTGTTCTCCCAGCCATTTAGGTATCGCTTAGCTCAGTCAAATTGACACATAAATTTAATCATCCCAGTGCCATTTGAGCAAAGACTTCAGCGAACTCTGTGAGGGAGTTATTTGAGATGACAGCAGCCTCAGAAGGAGGAAAAGACATGCAAAGACTTTGGGTGGAAGTTTGCAATCCAGGAGGCTTCCTGTGGAGGTATTGAAGCAGAGCTGGCAGAGCATCTGTGAGAGAAGATGAGCTGAAGATTTCTGCTTTTGATGCACACTTGAACTACATGCCCTCTGAGGTCTCTTCTAATTCTATATTCCCTGAGCTTTTGATTTTCTGATAGTTGGAAATAACTCATTTGGAAGCAGTGAGCAAGATGGATTCAAGAGCAGAGATGCCTAGACTAGGTTCTCTGAAATTCAAATGGCAAAGAGGCCAAACAGGTAGTATAAGCATGTAAAGATTTTGGCAATGTACTGAAATATTTTTAAATATATATAAACTAAATAAATCATGTTTGCAGGCCAAATCTTGCCTGTCACCAGTTTGAGATCTTTGGATTACAGAAAGGAAAATCTATTAAATGTTTAACAGTATAAAGTTTTAGACTTGGAGTAAAAGAGAATAAAAAAAAAGTGAGAGTCTTTGATGAGAATTATTTCTTTGTTTTCATATGACAGAGAATCAAAAGGAAAGAAAAACCAAAGATTACACTGTAGTTTAGATGCCAGGAAACTAGTTCACACTGATTTTGCTCTTCCTCAAGTGATGATCACACTGATCTGATGTTTTTCTCCCTATTGCCAATAGCTAAATATTGATTGGTTTTCCCATTGTTTTAATATACATAATTAACAGCACTTGAAAACTTAGAATACAGTCACAGAGTGAAAACATAAACCAATGCAAACTTTCTCAATTATTTTGTATCAATAATATCGTCATAGTCATAAAGCTTTTGAGCAAAGGCTCAGAATTAATAAACTTTGATAATTACAAAGAGACAGACAAACCTTTATTGTTTTTGATGTATGACTTGTCTTATTTCCTTGCTGCAGGTGCCTTCATTTGCAAGATGGTGCCTTTTGTCCAGTCTACTGCTGTTGTGACAGAAATTCTCACTATGACCTGCATTGCTGTGGAAAGGCACCAGGGACTTGTATATCCCTTTAAAATGAAGTGGCAGTACACCAACCAAAGGGCTTTTACAATGCTAGGTGAGCCACCAGATGTGCCAAGGACAGTGGTAATGTGCAACCATATGCGAACCATATGTATATGCTGAAAGGGTAACTTCTTGTTTAACTTGTAAGCATTAGGGTACAATTTGAGAGTTTCAATCCTCTGTTTGCATTATCCATCCTCGTCTCTCCACTAGGCCTAACTCAACACTAAAAATCTGTCATTTTGGATGTGCTTCTTCAGTTTAAGTCTTAAAGTTTGAAACAGCACGTTTAGCTAGTCTATCATGACCCATCAGTGGCATTGCCACATTAATAATCAATAGATTAGTAACTCCTCATCCTCAGGTAAGAATGTTCTAAGCTAATAAGGGCAGGTAGATTATGATTGGAAGTAGGAAATGTGTTTTTAGAAAATGTAGAACAGCAGTGTCCCAAAATGGGCCTGGGGGTGAGCACATAATAGTGCAAAGTCACAGCATTCATGAGAATACAGAGTAGTCCTGGAGATGCCTACAGAGAAAAATTCCTCCCACTTTGTAATTTTGCTTCAGACATTTTTGGATCCTTAGCTCATTATAACCATTCTTGATTCACCAAGTTATGAGGGATACATACCTCATGATAAATTATAAATTTGAAAGAATATTCTGAAGCATAGCACAGTAAAATGGAAGACTCTTTCCACTCAGTAATTATAACTGAACACTTGAAATGTTAATATGCTTCTCAGTGGTTTAAATTTAGCATCACTAAGTAATCAGAAACATAGTAAAACAAGTAGTATGGTAATCAAAGGCAGCAGTTGTGGGCCTGGGATTTAGCTCAGTGATTTCACCTCCTGCCGCGCAAGCGCAAGGACCAGAGTTCAATCCCCGGTACCAAAAAAAAAAAAACTAAAGGCAGCAGTGAAAGGAATGATCAATCATTTATTACTGCTATAAAATACATCTAGTGTTGAATTATAGAATTGCAGGAAGAACTCAAGAGTTCACAATCCTAAAATTTTAAATAGTTGTTAACAGATAAACAACAGGGGATATTCATGAATTTTAGTTATCTTCAGATTTATGTCACATCTTTCCTAGAAAGAATTCAGAGATATCTAGGTTTTTAATAATTGACAGCCTTCCAATGTCAATATAAGGGAAATGAAACTAACTCTTTGTCTTTCTTCATTAGAGGGTTTGGGTGTGAAGACCATGAACAGAAGTAAAAGAGAGAACTTCATGGGCAATGGTATAAATTGTGGGTTTTATCTAATAGGTGATAGAACATTATTAAAAAGGTTTTTAACATTTAACAATTCTTTGAGGATGACTATTGTAGGAAGAATTTCAAGGGTGGTAAAAGAATCCAAAGTTTGTGAGATTGCTGCCTGCCCTAGGGCAGGGGATGGGATGCACTGGAAATAGGGAGTTTTGATGGTGAGAGAATCCTATATGGATGCATTTTACTTAGCTGATTCATATTCTGATTTTTTTTGCATTTTGCAGGTGTGGTCTGGCTGGTGGCTGTCATTGTAGGCTCACCCATGTGGCATGTGCAAAGACTTGAGGTAGATTTGGGGCTGGGGCTGATAATCATAATATTGAAAGATTTTCCCACTCCTCTTAATTATAATCATTTTCTTTCTTTCAAGAACATAACAGTTAATTTGTGTGATCTCAGTTACCTCACTAGAAGTTTTTCATATGAAATGAAATAATTTGTTTCAAGGTTGTTGTTCCTCTGTTTTATCTCTTTTTGATACTGTATTATTAAGACTTTAAAATAAACCCTTTTAAAGATCCAAGGTCACTTTCTATATTTTCCTGGAAGCTAAGCATATTTTCCCTAGTGTCCCCCAGTATCTTGTTACAAGTTAAGAGTTCAAGGATTGCTTTGATTTTTTTTTATTTCAAGTCACATAAAAATTTGCAATAGATTATCTACCTATTGGTTGATTCTCCTTCATAAGTCTTTTCTTACATGTCTCTTTAATTTAAATTGGAAATACACCAGGGGATCATCCTATCCAATCTCTCTACCATTGTTAAATGGGACCAGTAAAGGGAGGAGTATCTTGGTACAAGGCAACCCAGCCTATTCTTTGACATGTCTTATAGTTGAACATGGACTGTAGTCTTCAAAGATAGTTGGGGGTACTCACATCATTCCCCGTACAATTTACAAAATGATATATCCCTTTGTACTTTTAAAAATAGAAAAAGGAAAATGTCAGATTTTACTGGGCCTGCCACACCCATCAGCATGGCTGTGAAACGAACCCTAAGGGAAGACTACATTTAAAAAGTAGCCTGGTATTTTTATTTTATGTAACTGGCATACTAAATGAGCTGAACTCTGTATGTGGGAGCAGAATTCAACTTTTTCTATTCGTTGCTACCTATAAAAATGCTATCTATGAACTAGCCAGTCTTTATAATGAAAGGTCATGGATAAACCCTTGAGCAGACCCTTTAACTCCTCCAGTCATTCCAGTAACCAAATTCTTTTGGTTACATTCAGTCACAAGAACCGTGTTAGTTCTGTTATAAAATGTCCAGTATAATACACAATCACATAAATCCATGTCCTTGATCAATTTAAAACTTTGCCTTTCCTTCAGCTTGAATTGATTTTAAGTCTAAAATGTGAAGGGGGATTATGGTAAGTTTTTTATGTCCTTGCCTCTTAGTTCTCATTCCCCCTTTGCCCCCACCTATTGAATTGGTTACTTTTATCTTCCTTCTGGAGCTCATGAGAATTGAGAGAGGAAGAGACAACTGTCCTCTGGAATTAGTGCCTTCTGGGTAAGACTGTGGACTTTAATTGATTCTTAACTTCCTAGGTTTCAAGATCACACCATTGAGGCTTCAAGTTATTCTATTCCCCAGTCCCTTGCTTGGATAGATCGTTCACCTGCCACACACAGCTTGCACCACCAGCTCCTTTCTGCAGACACTGCCTCCTCTGCAGAAGAAAACTCACAATGATAGAGCCTCTAATAAATGACTCAATATAATTTCCAATTGTGGAGTCCATTTCTATCCCACTGAAAACAAACAGATGCATCAATTTTCAAAATAAAACTATTTTATCATACAGTCTAAATATATTTTAAACATACAACTCATTTAGTTTACAGAAAATGCATTCTGTATAATTAATTGAAAAAGCTATCTTCACTGTCCAACAGGTGAGGCAAATCAGATTTGCTTTCTTTCAGGATAAAGTTTGATTTCATTTTTTAAAAATAAAATATGTGCATTAATATGCATCCCATGGCCATCTTCTCACTCTTAAATTCTATTAGAAAGAGTGTGAGTGGGCATTCAGGGAACCTGAAATTCCCACCTTGATGGTACAAAGTACCACCTTCTTCAGCATTTCTCATAATTGGTCTTTTTGCTTTATTCTCTGGATGTCTCTCAAGTGCGATGTGTTTATTTTCATGGGATGGAAGAAAGAAGCTGATTAAATTAAAATTCTCATCACTTCTACCCCTCCTGGTATGAAAGCATGAATTCACAATATCCCTACACTTGTCAAAATACCATTTTTTCTAATGCCAGGGTTTACCTTTAATGAAAATATATTTAAGACAGGGAAAAGTACAAGACCCCACCAGGGCTTGTGATGCCTTGATCAAGTTTTCTTCCCTGACATCTCTTTAGTGTCCTGTTGTAAAGTTTGGATTGGGTGAAAGATATGACTTTTATAAATTGGGAAGTGTGTGATTATGAAAAGGGAAGTGGAAATGCAGACCCAGGATGAAATCTCAATTTCAGATACCATCTCAAGCAGTGGAAGTTTAGAGAAGGGCATGTCTAGAAATAGAGATCAGAAGTTGGTTGCCATAAATCCGTCTATCAGAAAGTCTTTTCTTATCCCTAGTGCTACATGAACCAACTTGGTCCCTATCAGTCTAACATTGAGTTTAAGGGTTATAAGTCAACCCATAACCCTCCAGGATCATTGACCCTTGTAGGGTCTGCTAATATGGAGTCAGAATAAATTTCACATTTATGTCCTACTCACAGACAGTTTGTACCTTGAACTTATTTTTAATAAGGGTTATCAGATCTGGTCATATTTCTTAATAACACCTAGATCTGAACTTGAATTTTCTTACCTTTTCAATTGCTGTGGAAGATTGTTGATAAAAATTTTTGAGAATGTAGGCAAAAATATGTCCAAGATCTAACTATTCATCTGGAAAACTCCAGAGTGACTAAAATGACATTAATTTTGATAAATTTTCTTATTTTGCAACCATTAAAGATGTGATTTTTGAATATGCTTTTAATATTTAGTTTGTCCATGAAATATGCCTTTTTAACATTTTCTAGTATTGCTGTTAATATTTTAGAACTTATGAGATGATTCTAGCAGAAATAGTATAAATAAACAAAATCTGAACATTTGTAGACTTGCAATAATTTGAATCCAATTTCTCATTTATCTCAGAATTTAAAAGCTATCAGTTGCCTTTTTAATATGTTTCCAAGAAATCTGATAATTCCAATACAAAATAGTACTAAAAACATGGCTTTCAGTATCTTCTACTTGGAAGATGTCTGATGACTTTGCTAGTCTATTTTTGAACAATTGAATGAACCAAAAATTAATTCATACATTTAATTAACATTGAACTAGCTGGCATATAATAGAAAATATTTTTCAACATGTTCTTTAGTAATTGTGCTCTTTCAGCTCACTGAAAATGTATGAGCAGTGAAAATAAAAGTTGATAAAGATAATGAAAGTAAACAGGCTGTGGACCTCAATTCCATTTTAAATAGAAAAATACAAACTCTTAAGCATTCAAGTGGATAAACTACACTTTCTAACAAAATACTGTATAGTAAAAAATAATTATTATTTAAAATATATACCTGTGGAAAATTTGAAAGGGCATAAAAATGCTGCATATTATAATAATACTGAGCTCCTTTCTGGTTTCTTTTGATGCTGCCTATTGGGTCTTAACTGAATTATCCTTATTGTAAAGATCAAGTATGACTTCCTATATGAAAAAGAACACATCTGCTGCTTGGAAGAGTGGGCCAGCCCTGTGCACCAGAAAATCTATACCACCTTCATCCTTGTCATCCTCTTCCTCCTGCCTCTTATGGTGATGCTTGTCCTGTATAGTAAGATTGGTTATGAACTTTGGATCAAGAAAAGAGTGGAAGATGGTTCAGTGCTTCGAACTATTCATGGAAAAGAAATGTCCAAAATAGCCAGGTCTGTCTAATGAAATATTCACCTCTGATTAAAATACTTTTAAAGATGTTCTGGAAGGGGCAATTGTTAGAGATACCAGAACCTCTAAGTAATTGAGTCAATACATTATTTGTAATACAAATTTAAAGCATGGGCAGAATTTAAACCCTGAAGGTTTTATGAGGTTTTATGTGTGACAGAAAGAGCAAGATTGTCAGTTCTTAAATCAAAGAACTTAGGCTATAGATAGAAACACACTTGGAATTTAGAGCACTGCTACATTTTCATCTATATGCAAATATGACATAATGGGAAGAAAAGCTGTGGGGAGGTGTCAGGACTGGGTAGGGGCTGTTCTCTCTCCATCACTTGCCAGCCATGAGAAGTAGATCAGCACTCTTGTTCCTCAGGCCCTGTTATCCTCATATGTACAAGTGCACAAATCAACACCCATCCTTACTTCCTCCCACTCACAGATGATGCTAAAATACAGGAGACAGCATGTATGAACACTGTTTGAAACCAGAGTATGCCAATCATTTTAACTGGTTATTATTGATATATTTCACTTTTACCTAATGGCTGTGCTACCTGGTTTTATTTCTTAAGACAATTTTAGAAACAAAATTTACTGCTACATTACTTGTAGTTTATATGATTTAGTATATACTAAATGATTATTAAACCAAAAACAAGCAATACTCTATGTGAAGGACTACTGATTTGACAAATTTTTTTTAATCAATTCTTCAAGTGTGTAGTGACCTCTAGTGCCCAGTTTCTATAAAGAAATCCTTCTTTTCCTTGTACAAGGGCCTGGCACTGCTCAGTACCTAACACTAATTTCTGAGTTAGCCTCCTGCTTCCTCAAAAGAAAGAACTACCAGGTGGAAATGGAAGATTATGAGTCTGAATTTTTACAGATTTAAGGTGCCATGCAAATGTGTACCTGTTTCACAGATATAAGTCAACTTTATAGGAATAGTGAGGAAAACTACTTTGAATCAGCCAACCATATTATCTAGATATAATAAAGGGCTGCATTTTAACTTTATGCTTAGGGGTTCTCTTATTTCATAAATATTGATATGTACTATCACAGGCATGAATGCCTTTCAATATATAGTGAATAGAACACAGTCACTGGAGTTAGACTGCCTAAATTAAAACCCAAAGTATACCTCTTATTGATCATCTGACTTTGAAAATTATTTAACCTTCTCTGTCCCTCAATTTCTGCATCTGTCTAGTATCTTGTTGGGAAAATTAATAACATAATTCAATCCATGCCAAGCATACTTCAGAGTGCCAGACCACGATGAGCACACATCACAGGGGTGTTTATGATATGAAGAATATAAGCATGGGCTAATATCAATAGAAAAAGTTGATAATCATCCCATAACCTATTAAGAACTTCATTAACTTTTCAAAAATTATGGTTGAGTAGATTATGCTCAAACTTTATCTAATAGCTTTGTTATGAATGCAACACATTTGGCAAGGCAAAGTTAACCAATACACTGTTTCCTTGTGAGTCCAGGAAGAAGAAGCGAGCTGTTATTATGATGGTAACAGTAGTGGCTCTCTTTGCTGTGTGCTGGGCACCTTTCCATGTTGTTCACATGATGATTGAATACAGTGAGTGTTTATCATTGTTATTTGGTAGACATTCTAGTTCGTGTCCTATCAAAATGGATAATGAACCATTGAAATATATTGCTATTCTCTTGGGTAATCAAATATCAAATACTGAATATATTTATTTCAAGTTTTCAAGATCATCTGATCAATATGCTGTAGATCATCATGCATGACTATGACTAAACCTTTAGTTATCACAGAAGATAAAGAAAAACTTTGAGATTCATCTCCCATGTCTATTTAACTCCTTAGACTATTTAACATAGAGAAAGGGCAATATCATATGAATCTTCTCTATTTACAACTTGATTTGTAACTTATGAATTTAATAATGCATAGGATTTCAGTCAGACCCTCAGTGTATGTTCTCTGATAATTCAGGACTACATGTTGCTCTCAATATGATTGCATTTCTGGAACCCTAGTGAGTATTTGAAGGGTAATGTTGCTACTAGTTTACGTGGTGCTTAGAGTCATCAAGTTAAAATAATTTGAGTCATCAAGGAGAGATGTGTTGGGCAATAGCCTATGTATGCAGGAGTAAATTGTATAGACATGAAGACGCAACACAAAGTTTATTTTTCAGATATCATGAAATGATCTTGATAATTTTTTATACCTTTAACCATTTGCACAAGTTCAAGTTTTTGGTAAAGACAGATGATAAATAAAAGTTTTATTTTATGCTTAAAATGAATAAGCATTCTAAAGTATTACTTTGTTTCAGGTAATTTTGTAAAGGAATATGATGAGGTCACAATCAAGATGGTTTTTGCTATAGTGCAAATAATTGGATTTTCCAACTCCATCTGTAATCCCATTGTCTATGCATTTATGAATGAAAACTTCAAAAAAAATTTTCTGTCTGCAGTTTGCTATTGCATAGTAAAAAAAACCTTGTCTCCAGCACGGAGGAATGGACACTCGGGAATTACAATGATGCAGAAGAAAGGAAAATTATCCCGGAGAGAGAAGCAAGTAGAGGAAACCAAAGGAGAAGCATTCAGTGATGGCAACATTGAAGTCAAGTTCTGTGAACAGCCAGAGGAGAAAAAAAATCTTAAGCGACATCTTGCCCTCTTTAGTTCTGAATTTTCTGAGAATTCAGCTTTAGGCAGTGGGCATTAATTGTAACAATGTCTTCATAATTAATAAAACGAATTATAATCTGAATGTTATTTCGAGCAAAGGTCAAAGACTTATTTTTAAAATGGTGAAAAGAAGGAAAGAAATCACATTTCTCCAATTTAAAATGACATTATACATGAAAGTACAATTTCAAAAAATTGCTAAACCATCCCCATAGGTTGTTAAAATGGAGTTTTAAAGATCTTGTATAGAAACCAATGTTCTTGGCTAGAAATTTTTCCCTGTGTAGTGAATATAATGTGATTTTTTACATATTGCTAAATTGGATGAAAAAATATTAAAAGTATATTTTCTTTCTTGAGTATTAATAGCTGAACATCATGCTATAATTTGTAACGTACTGTTGTTGTGAAGTTATACAAACTTTTGCAAATGAAATCTGTGCCATAATCACGAAGTCAAAGAAGATGGAGAAGCAGCCAAAAGATGATCAAGTAGACTTAGAAGTAGATGTCTGTATTAGAACTTCTTATAGCCCTACAAGTTACCATTTCTGTGATGACCGGCAATTTACTTAACCTTTTTGTCTCTTTTCACTCTTCATTTGTTCCTGTGCAAACTGGAGATGTTACCTTTTCTAGTTCGCAAAGTCACAGTGAAAGCATAATGAGACATGAGCAGAAATGCAGTCTGTGCTCTAAAGCACCTTCAAGTTTTGCAGTGCTTTGCTGGGTCCTCTTGCTGAGGCCTCTTCTCATTCCTGCTTCCTTCTGAGACTTGCTCCCTACCCCATCCCTGCCCAGTGTTCACCTCATGCCTATTCTGTAACTGATTTCTCTAAAAGAAATTTAGAATAAAAAATCAAAAGAATTAAATCAAAAGAATTTAGGGAGCTCAATTTTTGATGAACTGTAATATAATTGGATCAACCCAACAATCTCTTATGTTTTTAATCCCCTTCTTTTCACTAGAAGGATTGAATATTTTTTGTTATGTAAACAAGTTTTTTCTATGTAGTAAGTAGATGGAATAATCAACAGTAATCCATAAAGTTTTGCTGTGCCCAAGGCTAACCTCCTAGAACTGGGTCAAGAAGAACAATAGAGATACTTGGCCATATTAAAACCCCCCCAAATTTACTTCAGTCTCTTGACTTCCAAATGTCATGGATCCAGAGGCCAGTATTACAGCCCTCTGTCATTTCCCTTTCAACAGCTGATATTTCCAAAGTCCAGTCACAGCCTTAGGGTCAAAATGTATTTTCTGCCTCTAGCTCTGCAGCACTTATTCTCCCAGTTACACAAAGAAAATAAGAGAAGTCCAAGAATTCTCAGGATATTTTATTATTTAAGCTTTAATATTGGAAAACCAACGAACTCAGGTTTTGGAGACTCTCGAGTTACAGACCTTTAATTTTATGTCACTGAAGCATGTATTAAAGAGGCAAAAATGAAACTGTGTGGTGTTTAAAAAAGTGTCATTGTGACACAGAAAGATAAACAAAGTGAAGAGAATGGGACTGCTTATTTATTTGATTTGTATGGACATGGATCACTTTGGTAATTTATGTAAACTGTCTACCCATTATTCCTGATTACCCTGTAGCAAAACACTGATGATCATTAAACATTAAACCATTAAAAATGAGTATGAGTCAGATTCACTGATTTTGATTCTCCTTCCTTAATTAATAAATATTCATATGACTTTCTACATTTGACACACATATGCTTGAATCATGGCAATAAAAAAACAGGTAAATCAACAGGTATTGAACATTTAATTATTAAAGCTATAGGGTTTTTTTAGAAATTCAATTATTGCAGAGTTTGATCTGAAAATATTTAGGTACTAGGTAATAACATTTACTGTAAAATTTCTAGATAGCATGTAAAAGTTTTTTAAAATTTTGCCCATATTTGTATTAGTGCTATTTTAAGAAACAAAAGTATAGAACTGTGTGTGTATGTCCTCTAAACACACAATCTCTCTGCTCTGTTAATAAAGTTTAAAAGAGAAATGTTCTCCAGTCTGTTACTGAACATTTTGTACTATCAACCAAAGTAGCTCTGGGTCCTGTCTAGATTCTGAGTCTAGATGCTGGTATAACACAACTTGTGAGTGGACAGATTGTCATCTTGTGTCTTACTTTTCTCATTGCTGAGACAAAATATGTGACACTCAAAGTTAAAGCAGGAAAGGTTTATCTACCTTACAGTTGGTAAGAGGCTTCAGTCCATAATTGGCTGGATACAAGGCAGGGTAACACATGACAGAGGTGCAACAGTTCATGGCAGACCAAAGGTAGCAAATCAACAAGGGACCTTAATAGTGCCTTCCTGCCCCTTTTATCTTATACAGACTACTTAGGGTGGGTAGCACTCATACCCTTAATCCTAGTACCCTTAATCCTAGCATTGCACCATGAATCAATTCCAGCATCACACACTCTAGATCCAGCCACTTCTGAAAAAGCTCCACTTATGACTTCATGAGGCTTTGAGGGGATATCTAAACACAAGCCACAACACCTTGGATTTGTAAAAGGATCCCTAATTACTGCCACCACTCTCTTCTCCATGACTTCACAGTCCCTTGAGTCCTTTAATTCCTCTGTCTTTGACTCAAGTATCTGCTTTCCTCCCTGCTTTTCTTTACTGTACACTTTTATCTGTACTGCACACAGTTTATCTATCTAGTTTTTCTTTATCTAGTTCTTGAAGTGAGAATTGAAAAGGTTTCTTTGGACCCAGGAAGTAGAGTTGCAGAGGGGTACAGAAAGTTATCATTCCATTTCTTTTCTTTCTTTCTTTTGGCACTGGGGATCAAACTCAGGACCTTACACTTGTGAGGCAGGCAATGGAAATCATTTCATTTCTTACATTTGAAAACATCTATGGAAAGTAAAAAGTTATGTTTTTCCCTTAGATTTCTAAGCCTTTTATTTCATTATGGATCATCAGGAAAAGAGAGCCCTGTACATTTTCTCCACTCTACCAATATCTATTTCCCTTCTTTTATAGGTTGGTATGTGTCAGAGCAGCAGCATCATACATACTAGTTTGATTAAGACTAATTATAAGTTTCCAAACCAAATACCCAGGTGTATAGCCTATACTATCTTACTTCAAAGCTTATTATATATTACAAGATCACAAGAATGATACTAAAGATAGGTGTTCAGTTAACATAAAAGAATAGAGTTGTCAAATAGGAGAAAGAGATACCAGGTAACATATATGCACAGATATATATTCAACTTATTTTAAACAAGGTGGCAACATAATCCAATGGTGGAAAGGACAAACTTTAAACAAATGTTATGGAATAATTGGATGTCCAAGTGTTACAGCAAAGTGCAACAACTCAGTGTTACAGCCAAGTGTTAGAGCTCTGTGTTATAGCCAAGTATTATACCTATCTGAAGGTCTCTGACAGCAAAGAAGTCACGCAGCACTTGGCGAGATAGAGGGATTCTTTATTAAGCCAGCAGACTCAGAGGAACTTGTACTCTGAAGTATGAGCAATGCAAGCAGCCTTATATAGAGATCTTTAGGTTAGGAGGGTGGGCTCACCTACCAGGTTAGCATACTCATTGAGGTGGATGGGCAGAGTTAACAGGACATTCTTTTAACCTTAGGTACAAACATCATGCAGCACAAACAGTTACACTATTTTGCAGCCCAAATAATTACATTGCTTGAACAGAGTGTTGATACATAGGGCAATAACATCATGCAGTACAGTTACATTGCTTGAACAAAACATCCTATGGCAAAAACATGGTGGGGGTGTTGGTGGTCTCTCTAGAGGGAGACCTGAGACCCCGGAAAGCACCAACTTTTAAAGAAAGAAAAGGAGACAGCCTGGGGGACGAACAGAAGTTTACTCCTCTGACACTGTTCGACAATCACAAAGGAAAGAAGCAAGGCTTTTATACATGTAAGAAAGCAGCTTAGTTGTTCTGGTTATTGTCTTTCCGATTTTTATATCTGATGATAACCAGTTACTTTAAGTGACTCATAAAAGCTACAGGCAAATTTACAAGTCCCCTGTTTCCGTTCACCAATCCCGTACATCAAAGAGCACACCGCAGCCCTCTTCTTATCAGATGGTACCAAGACAACAGGACGACTTCAGCTGAAATTAAGCCCACCAGCCCACCACAAACATCACAGATGTGCATAGTGAGTTGTATCTCTCTCACCACCCATAGAGTCACTGGGTCAGGGTCCTCTGATCCTGGGCAATTGTAAATAAGAAAACTAGGAAAACCTGTTTTTCTCCCATGAAACTTTTACAATGTCTCTTAAAGTTTTCTGCCATTCTTTTAACAAACAGACTTGTGGAATTTCCCAGAAATGACTTAATTTTCTCAGTTAACAAACTTCTTGTGATCAATTCTTACAACTAGATAGCTGAATTCTACAATTTCCAACAAGGGGGCATGGCAACCGACAAAGGCCTGCCTTGTTTTGCACTATTTCTTTATCATTTATCCCCTTTGATGCCCTTATATAGGCATAACCTCATAGGGCACCACTAGTAGGTAGAGGGTGATAGTCTCAATAGCTGATATACTGATTGTCTTGCGAGAGTCTGAACCCAATCTCAAAGGAATTCTGTGAAGCACCTAAACATACAAAGGCCAAACAGTAACAGGAAAATGGGGGCCAAGATCCCTAGCAGAGGGACAACCCATGATGTCCAGTTTGGAATCTCTCCTGGAGTTTAGCAGCTCTGTCTTGGAGGCTTTTTGAAGCCTGGTGAATGACCCATGGTCTTTTAACATAGAAATAACATTCTTCCCTGAGAAAGACACAGGTATCCCCTTTTTCTGTCATTAATAAGTGTAAGCTACAACAGTTTTGAAGAGTGACTCTAGCTAAAGAGGTCTATTATAGAATTAGAGATCTCTTTTAAGCTACTGGTTACCAGTTTTAGGGTGTTGGAGAGGTAGGGGGTAGCAAGTCTGGACTGTCATATCCCAAGACCGCCACCATAGAGACCAACAGCAACATCAGGTTATTGGCACCAGCCATCACCAGTTAAGTCAGGGTTGAACACCTTACCTTCAAAGGAGATAGAGAATACTGGTGAAACACCCTATACTAATGATAAAGTCAAAGGCTAGGAGAATTCCATGGACAGTTGTCCAGTTTATTGAGACAACTGTAGCAAGACTTACAGCAAAAATTAAGATGAGCAGTCTAAGGAGGCCTAGAAACTAGGGATAATGACAACAGTCCATATAGTAAAATAAGGTGTCCTGTGAATGGTGTCCTCAGACTTCAACTGTGCAGAGACCAGTCAGCTTCTGGTATGACTAGAACAGGGCTGTTGTCCATTAGTGATGTCTCTGAGGTCAGGTTGAGTTCCAAGGTCTTCTGAGTCAAAACCTGTGGGGATTCTTAGGGTTCAGGTGCATTGTCCAGGTGTTTGGGAACTCTGGGGTGGACTTTTTTGAGCCTCGAGTGAAAGACCCATGGGACAGCTCTTGCAACTTTAACAGCAGTGGGAGTGACTAGCACAACCATGTGAGTTCCTGTCCAGATTTCCTTTTTCCAATCTTTAACCCAAACTGAGTCCCCTGAGTGGTGTGTATATACTGGGGTACCTGAGACAGGGATCCTTTCAAGAACAGCCTTATGAATCTGAGACAAAATCCACCTATGGCTCATAGTTCTACACTTAGACTGTTATCTCCCAATTGTCTGATGTCCTCTCTGAATCCCCTTATTATGGGTGGGAGTCTTCCAAAAAAAATCTCATAAGGGGAATAGCCTGATGGTCTGGGAGTGCATCAGACCTGGAGTAAGGCTAAGGGTAACATGTCAATCCAGGCCTCCCAGGTTTCCTGATATAACATGGCAAATGTGGTCTTTAAGGTGCAATATATGTGTTCTACTTTTCCTGAGGTTTTGGAGTCTGTAAGCAGTATGAAGGTTCCATCTGATCTTCAGCAGATCAGTGAGTGTTTGTACCACTTCTGCTACAAAAGCTGGCCCACTGTCACTTCCCATTGTTAGAGGCAGTCTATATTGAGGGATAACCTAATGCAATAAGAGCTTGACAGCTTCAGGTGCTTTCTCAGTCCAGGTAGGTATGGCTTTGACCCAACCTGAGTATGCACAGATAATGAGTAATAGGTAATTTTTTTAGCTGACAGTGTTTTACTTCAGTAAAGTCTATTTTTAAGTCTTCAAAGGATGACATCCCAATATATTGGATTCCCAGGGCTGGCTTGGGTCATTGCAGAGGGTGATTTCTGGTAAAGACTGGGCATCACTGGCTTATGGAGGCACAGAAGGATGACAGCCAGGGGATGTAGAAGTATCTGCCCAATAGCACCTCAAATGTTGATTTTCCCAGATGGTTCAAGTTGTGTAATTCTTGAACTAGGGCATATGCTCTTTGCTGGGGTATGAATGGCCTTTGATCTTGCAGGATTCACCATGAACTAGGGCCTTTGAAGGGTCCTTCTTGGGCCTACTGATTTTCTTCTGGGGTGTATATTGGATCTGTATTTTGATAATCTTTAGGGAGTGTGGCCATTTCTGTGGAAAGAGTTTGAGTTGGTGTTGTTGTGCCAGTGAAGACAGCTTCTCTTACCACCTGGTCTGCCAGATGGTTTCCTAAGATGACCGAATCCTGCCC